GAGCAGGCACCACATAAGCTAGCTAGACATAAAGTATCAAAGAGATGAGTCCATAGAGCCGCCAAACATGGACAATGTAAAAATAGATGATCCAAAGATTCATTTGAAGATTCGCAAAAAACCGCACCAATTTGGATTAATGTAAGTTATACCTAATTATGTAAAGTAATTGGTATTTTATCATAATTGGTAAGTTATACATAATGATGTAAAGTAATTGTTTGCAAAAATTGCCAACAACTTATACATAATGATGCATTTAAGAACAAAAAACACATCTTAAGAGGCAAACACAAACCTAATGTCTTCATTGTTCTTCTCCCTCTCATTTCTTTGTCTCAAGTAATAAGTGACCTAGACCAAAAATGTGATCAACTATTCACAATATTTCTTTTACTTCAATAAAAGTAATGGAAAGAATTTAATCTCGAAGTAAAGAACTGAATTATATTCGAATTTACATTTTCTTTCACAACCCTAGAAATTATGGAGTTGTGTAACGAAACTATTTATCATACCCTTTTATTTCCTCCAAATATTCTAACTCGAAACTTCAAACTCGCACCCTCTTAAATATTTAAATTACTATCTATTTAATATACTACTTAATCACCTTACAAATATAGGCCGTATTTGTTCAGATTTTATTGTAACAATATTTCCTCCATTGGATATTGTATCTGAGATTAGTTCTTTTAGTTGGTGTGTACAAGAGAAATATTGTCTGATTAATTAGGAAAATACAATGTAACATGTCATCTCTCCAAAAGAATATATTTAAGCGCTTTTGAAACATTTTCTCTCAATCGATCTTGAACCATCTCTCTCTAGATATAAATATATCTCGCTAGTGTAAATTTAAGAGGCCTTCTCGTGAGGTAAATTTAAATTGTTTCGATTTTTTTCTTTTGGATTATTTTAAAGAATATATTATACTTTTCTCTCACGTCAAATCAACAAGAAGTTACCCAAATTAAAACGTCTCTATCCGAGAAAGAATAAGTTCAAACCAATTAGAAGTTACACATATCGAAGTGTTCCCAATGTTAGATCTTTGAAGGTTAGCTTGGTTGGTAAGATAAAGAATGAAAATGAATAATTTAATTAATGGGTCACTTACAAAAGTTTGAACAAACTTTGAAGAAAGATACCTAATTTTGCACAGAAAGTATGCGTACACTTTGCATCTTTCATTCATTTGGGAAAAAAATAAGAGTTGGCTGATGATGTGACACTCAATAGGTTTTTGGGAAGAATATATTCTGCACTCATCAACTTGCTTTTTCCTCATATGCTTCAATGGCTGTCAATCAGAGGTTTACATAAATTTGTACTTCTTTCTTTTTCCTTCAATTCATTTCTTATTATTAAAATACTAAGGAGAAAGAAAGAAGGAAAGAAATAAACCCTAATTCCGATAGAGGTTCGAGAGTTGTCTCTAGAGTCGTTTTTATTTTAGACCGAGGTAAAGTTTTAGTTAGTATATGATTTTGAATAGTTAACAAATGTTTATATTTCACAAAAGTTGGAAACCATGAACAAAAAGCGAAAAACGTTATCATATGTCCGATCCTAAGTGTTCTTTCCAAAAATATTTATAGAAAAAGGTGTTTCACCCGAAAGGACCAGCTACAAAAATCATTCAAAACTCGCTCTTAATCTTTGAACTTCTAAAAATAATTTGGTCAAAAGCTATATAAAATGAGATCCATGTCATGCATATATAGATTGCTTTTCCAGTGGGATTTTAATGAATTTTTAACCTCATTGCTTTAGTCATGACCTTTTATTAAACTAAATTTTAAAAAAAAATAAAGAGAATAATTATAAAAGTCAAATTAAGATGGTCTAAAAATCCATCTTATGGTCAAACCATAGCTTTGGAGAATCTCACTTTTGTATTAATTTAGAAGCAAATTTGAATATGATGAAGGAAAAAAAAATCCATATCTTTCTTTCCCAAGAAAACAAGAAAATTGTGCAGAAATTAAAAGTGATTGAGTTTTTGGCTATGGTGAGTTCTTGAATTGTGTGGCTGAAAATGCAGAGACAAAGTTGTTTAGCTGTATTCCGAACCTTAATTTAATTTCACAAAACCCTACTCTTGACATGTTCCTATCACTTCTTGTCCTCTTCATTTTTCATCCAATAATGAAACCACTGCTCATAATTAACTTCTTGTGTTCGATCGGCAAAGTTTTTATTACTTCGATCTTGTTTTGTAATGATTTGAGGTTGAACATGAACCCCACAAACAAACTTGGATTCTTTGATCTTCTAGTTAAAACATAATTAGCCACAATAATCACTTAAAGCTATAGAGTAGTTTTTGGATATGTGCTCCCAAAAACAAAGGTGCACATTATTATTGTCTGTTGCTTTTATAAGTTTGGGGCACAGCGTGGAACCTCCGTGCGAAACTCTACGTTTGACCTGCAGAGAGGGCGTGTAAAGCATACTGTATGGACACCCAAATGTAGTTAGAGGTATCGACAAACTCAACCTGGACTAGTTTGGATCATCTAGTATATATAGGTCGACCAACCAGGACCAACCTAGGCTGACCATTACATTCAACTCTGATCCACTACAAGTCGGCCAAGCAAGACTAACTCAGGCCGACCAACACAACTCGACCAACTCAGGTCGACCACCCGAAGCGAATCATGTAAGGGTATTTGTCAGTATTTTTCACGTTAATATTTTTTACTAAGGATGACCAGGTAGAAAAAAATGGGAGAACTGAGTGGGGGAAAGAGAGATATTTGTCAGTATTTTTTACAATCACATCACTTATCGAAACATTATAAAAATAAATATTTTTACCATGTAGTATAAATAATATAATTAATATTAAACGAAACTATCAGCATTCTAGTAAGCATTTCATTAGGGTTGTTGACCATGTGAAGAACAGAAAATGAGAATTATTGAAATTCAAGAGTAAGAGGGTAATATTTTAAAATATAGGTACCAAATTAAAATTAAACTAAAAGATTCAAAGGTAGAAGTGTTAACCTTTGGAATCTTTATGTACCAAACTAAAGTCAAAACTTTGACTAGGTTTTCTCCTAATAAAATTTTCCTACCTCAAACCAACCAGCTGATATCTTTTAATTTTATATCTTATAGAATTAAATGGACATGATTCAGCCAATTTTTGTTCTTGTTAAATCTTTTTTCCTTTTTATTTCGACTAGAACTCCTACATTAACCAATCCAAAATAAATACATTTTTATTGAAGATTTAATACTTGTTTTCTAGGGTATAAGTCAAAATTTAAAAATAAATAATAATAATAAAATTACACTCTCTGTTTGATCTAAAAAACGACCCAGTTCGGAATCTTCGTAGATCGAAACAAGAAGGACGACCTCTCTTGCACTCCAAAGAACCTGCAAAACAAGGTTAGCACTCCGACAAGCAATTCGGTCACAATCCGATCTAAGCTCGAAGTGCGAATAGATACATACCTTGCTTGAAGGACAGGCATCCCTATTTATAGGGATGATCTCCGACAGGGTTTCGACAATAGCATAATGGTTATCCAACCGTTCGTGAGACGCAATGTGTTGTCGAGAATAGCACATTGTGTACACACGACCTGCAGACATATTTAATAGGTTGGTTTGTACCTTTGTCAGGTCGACCGAATAAAATAACAAACACGTCGGCTCAGAAGCTATTTCCCGAGCTGGTGAGACTTGGACGATAGTCATCGTTGTTTTAGGTAATTTATCTTCTTAAATACCGACATGTGGCAAGCGATAAACGGCCTCCAACACTTTTGATCCCAAAGTTTATATTAGGTGTCTATTTAATAAGTTTCAAAATGATTCCTGAGTTACTTTGGGTGTAAGTTCAGAAATGTTAAAATAACATAGTAGTTAAATTGGCGATTGTATTTGGCTGATTTGGTAAAATATATTAATTTAAATTTTTTTTTATTATTGGACTTCTGTCTTTCATTATGCAAATTATCCCCTTCCTTTGACCTTATTCTTTCTCCTCTCATTCGATGAAGTTCACCATCGGCCGTCGTTCACCGTCTCAATCCTCGCTGCAAATCTGTGACGTCCTCCGCCAGCCATGAAGAGGGAACCAAGGAGAGAGGGGAAGTCTGCAAGGAGCTGCACTGAAACGCCGGCTGGTGACCGGTGGTGAGTTTCATCGAGAAGGGCGAAGAAGAAGGTGAAAGGAAAGAGATAAAATTGAAGTAAAAAGAAAAAAGAGAGATATCCCGTCATTAGAAAAATTATTAAATTAATATATTTTTTCATTTAACTTTCACCAGATATTTGAACCACCTCTCGAAAGAATCATTCCTCAAATAGTCTTGAGTTAATTTGACCATTAGTTTAACTAATAGAAAAATTATGTAGCACTAATTGTATTTACTAACTTAACAAAGTTAATATTATTTTTGGTGAATAGACCTATGATTACGAATATAACCACGTGGAGCGTCGGACCGACCTATCGAAGAAAGAGATCATTAAACCTATTTTGCCGAGCTAAGGCGTGGAACCCTCGATTTTTAGTCTTCTTTTTTATAATAAACTAAAGGGATTGGGCATCGCAAGAATTGAGAAGTCCTCCATTAAATGCATTGAGTATAATTTTGTAAACCTAAGAAATAAATTCACCATGTTGAAACTTTGGACAATAAAATACACTTGGTCCAAATTTCAAAAACCAGCACATATTTTGTCCTAAAAAAATAAAAGGAAAACTGACAATACCAACCAAACCAAGCCAGTTAGATTTTGTACAACAAACATAAGTTGATTTAATTTCATAAACTAAACAACTAAGAATTTACCAATCAATTCAATTTGGATTTACCTTATCTATTTTGATCAGTTTACTAGTTTGTTTTTTCAGATTCAATTTTAAATTTTATTGGTTCAACATCAATTTTAGCCAAAAACTCGGTTGGCTTAACTTATATATATCTCTATTATCTGAATACAATTGGATTTTTTTGGACAAAAAAAAAAGAAAGAAATCTAAGAATTCTCTTTTTCGTAGAAACTACTAGGATGGAGTAGTACACAGCAGATGAATGGGTGATAGAAACAGCAAGAATTGAACAAAATTTGCCATTCCATTCCAAAAAGTAGAAAAAATAGCACATAATTAAACAAATTGGCTGTGTCTTCACACAGTTATTTCCAGGCTTTCTTCCCTCTGAACTGTTTGCCAGAACGTTGACTCTTCTTCCTCTTGTCAACTCGAGTTTTTGCGATTTTAGCTCGCTTCGCAGCCAGTGGCATAGCCTTCTTGTGTTCTTTCTGCTGATTGCTTAAGCCTCCCGTCTGCTCGTAATAATAATGATAACCCAAAAACAATCAGCTAATAATGTCCTTAAAAACAAAATCTTAGCTTCCAAGCAAAATCCTTTTCAAAAATTGTTTAGAAATCTACATTGCAAAATTTCTGAGTTGTGATTTTTTTTTTTAACAAGGCTAAAATTAAAACAATGTTTGTAAGATATAGAAAACAAATCAAAGAAATGAGGGAAGAATGACCTTATTTTTGTAACACCAGAGAAGCCATTAACAAAAATTATCATAGAACGCAGCAAAATATGGACACAACACACAGATTTTAAATTATCATAGAACAGAAAACAGAAAATGTCTAATACGAGATGAAATATAGTGAACATAGTGAAAATATTGAAACAAACCTTCTTTTGTTTGACAGCAGCACGTGCTTGGTACTTTCCTCTATCCTCTCTCCCGGCCTTAACTAATGCTAATTTTTCCTCCTTGCTTAGCCTTCTCCGGATATGAACCTACCACCATATCCACTCGAGTCAAATATATCGACAAGTTAAAGTTTATAGTTCGAAACATTATCATCTTAGAATAACCGTACAATAAGCATTCACAATTAGACAAGTATAAATATCTAGTAAACTAGCATCGTACCTCGAGCTTGGAAGGATCAACTCGCTTCGTTCTCAACTCATCAGTACTTGGAATCTTAAATGCGGTTGACTTTGCATCTGAACCATTTCTCAACAACCCATGTTGAGTCAAAGCATTTTTTGCATCTTTCTTTGCCTAATAAGTACCCAAAAATATTAATTACCGGTTAGGATGTGTTTGTACTTGACAATTACAAAACTTCATTTTCCAAAAGTTACAAAGCCTAGAAAGCATCCACACAATTAAGGTTACCTTCAATTCCTTGATTCTTTTGAAGTCTTCATTAGAAAGAATGCCATCAGTAGATTCTGATGGCTTTTCAGCAACTATTCCTGCTAATTTCTTCAATGCTCGAAGGCTTGAATCGGCCGTAACAAGTTGTTGGTCAAAATCAGAACGTTTCCTTTTGTTCAGCATAGAATCTCTAGAACTAGTTCCAGCATCCATGGAACCAGTATCAACCATCTTATCTGAGATATTGTCTTCATCATGTTCTTCATCACTATCCCCATCCGCCTCAGCCACCTCCAATTCCATCTCACTAGAATCACTGGCACTTTCATCATCAGCTGTACCATTGTCAGAATCAACTTCAGAAGTTGAGTCAAGATCTTCCGTTAATTCATCCTCATCAGCAGTCCCACTATCATCAGAGATCTGATCCTCTCCATCACCAGAATCAACCATTTGTTCAAGGTCATCCTCAGATCCACTTGGAATAGGCTCACTGTTATCACTATTGTCACCATCATCATCATGTTGTAATAACTCAGCTCCAGGAATATCGCATGCTACAGATACTTTCCCATAAGCTTTAGGTCTTGCCTTTGGATCAGTAGGGCGCCCACGATCCTTCTTAACTAGCAAGGATGGACAAATCTACAAACAGAGAAGTTGTCAGCCTTGCTGCTCGTGTATAATAAAATAAAAATCATATGAAGCAATAAAAACAGACAATAGAAGCTGGAGAGCTATTAAAATTTTCTGTATACCTCTCTAAATAATCCAATAAGTGATCGTGCAGCTATTGAAACTGCCTTCTCATGGGATTTCTTGTACAACGCAAGATCTTGTAACAAATCCTCGGTCATTAACTAGTCAGGAAGAATAGAAGATTACTGTTAAAATAGTTACACAAACCACAGAAAAATTGCACTATATGAAACATGCCAGAATCCAATAGTCACGAAAAGGATGGTAATTAATCATATCCACTTCAATAGAAAAAAGAACATATACATGGTATAGTATATGATTTCGAAATTTTTCTTAAAGGAACAAAGAGTTAACATCCAACCAAAATACATCATTTAAGTATTGTATAAATACACGAATAATGAAGAAAAATAAAGTGAAGGCATGCAATACAATACAATTAAGGAGTTCAAGAATACTGAAGAAAAGGTAGAACATACAAAATACGGATATATAACATCTGAGATACCATAGTGCAAATAGCAAGTAATGAAAGTTACCAAAGGCATTCGTAAACATATCTCCCTTACTACATTGAGTCCAACTGCAATAGCCTGGGAAAGAACAATAGAACTTTGAGTTCAAGAAGTAGAAAAGAACAATATAAAGCATCACCAATCAGACAAACACCTCTGTTCGTGAACGATCATGTACAAATTGATTTACAATCTGTTTGAACAAAGGTTCCACTGCATCAGGAGGAACCTGAATTGATTAAAGAAGCATAAATTACTAATAGAGAATCACTGATAGTTAGCCATGTAGAAAAACAATACAAATAAAAAAATAAAATTTATAATTATAAGTCTCTAGTGTAGCAAATTAAATAGAAAAGATTGCATACCACATCGTGACAAGCCTGGACTGCTGCTGCAAGCAAATTTGTAATATCACGCTGATGGGGCTGCATGAATCAACCCAACAGTTATTACTTGTCAAATGAATCATCTCAATCAACAGGTTAAAATAACATTACATACCTGAACATACTTCTGAAGGAAAGGGTAAAAGTTCAACAAAATCAAGCGGTGAAGCCCAACTGTTCTAGCTATAACTTTCAGCAACATCATTTTAACCTGACATTTAAAATATTATGAAGTAATCCTAAAAAACATCATAATTAAATAAATAATACATAGTTTTAAGACACCAACCATAAATGCAGTCTAAACAAATAAATAGAATGTTAAATACTTTATTGGAATAAAAAATATATAAAATAAAATTTTAATTCAGAGTTTCTAGTAATGTCTTCAAGTTTTATCACGAACCTAATAGTTGTAACTAGGGGTTGTCTCCAATGGTTGTCAAAACCAACTTTCTATTTTGTGTTTTTAAAGCATCTTTTGGGAAAAAAAAAACTAGTAAAAGTAACGATTACTGTGTGCTCGAAATCATTAAAAGAAAAGCAACCCCAATTATACTATAAGATAGGTCATCTATAACAATAAATTATGAGAAAATAATATAAAGCAACGTTCACAAAAATAATTCTCCAAACATATTTTTACTAAATTTCTATTCTAAAAAAAAAAAACTATTTTTCAAAATGATGTATGCTAAAGAAATAGGTTTATCAGTCAAATTTAGCATACTCACCTCAAATCGTTCGTTGCAAGCTTGAAGACGAGAGAATAGCTTTTCTGCAAACCCCTGCAATACAATAAAATAAATTTAGTTCATATTACCCTGAAAAGTAATCCTACAAAGAGAACCAAAACAGAAAAAGTAAAATCGTCCATATATCTACAGAAACTAATAAACCTGCGCATCTTTTAAATGGTTAAGTGGAGAATAAGTTGAATTGCTTTTCTCTGATGACAAGCGTTGCTGCCTCTTCATACTACGCATGACACGCTGCAGTTTTGCCTTTTTTTTCTTCTTGCTAGTTGATGTACCTTTATTGTGAGCCTAAATTACCAAATAACAATAATAATAAAGTTCAAAATTAGCCTAATCCAGTCAAACTTTTGAAGATTGACAGGTTTAAAATAGTCTTCAAAACAAGTTAAAAACCGTTCTTAGTTATATGATTTTCTCGCTCATGCCTTCACCAACCTTATAAATCAATTCCTTACTAAGAACGACTTGATGAGTTTGAGAAGTCATGTCATGTTCACTGCTTTCCTCATCACTATCATCCTCACCATCTTCAATCTTCTCATAGTCAAGAAGAAAGGATAGAGCAGCAATCATAATCCTAAATAGTTCAAGTGAATTGTTATCCTTCCAAAAAAAGTTAGCGATAGAATATCATTGAATCAATAAAAGTCCAGTACCTTGGCGATGAATGAAAGCAAGCAGTACAGATAGCATTTGCTGTTCTATCATCAAACCACACCTTTCTTCGATGAAGTTCACATAGTGTTATAAGCGATCTCTTGGCTTTTTCTTCATCCTCTTGCTACAACAAAAGTTAAAGTCTACTATCAATCCAAGTCGGCAAGTCCAGCCCCATGTCCTCATCAACACGAAATAAAAAGGTACTATTTACCTGCAGCATTGCAAACAAAATTTTCTGGAGTGCACGATTCTTTGATTCATTTTTATGCTTTTGATTCATTCTTCTAATGCTGTGAATTACATGAGAAAATGCCAATTTTCTTAATACCCGATCACCTAAGGTCTGTAACTCCATGAATAATGCGAGATTGTCCTCAATACCAATCATCTGAAAAACAAGTTAAGAGAAATTTCCAGATAAAATTAACAAATAAACTACACTTGATGCAGAAAGAAAGAAAAATAAGATAAACTGAAACAAAAATATAAAGCTGCAACCTTTAGATGTTCTAGAAACAAGTGATTCATTTCAGGACATTTAACTACTTTCAAAGCAGACCCACTTCCGACAAGAGCTTATATGTAAAATTCAATCTACACTTTTTCAATTCTTGGAGGTTTGGCTTTCCAAATTCTCATGTTATATGCAGAAGTTTGCCCAACCCCCCAGCCCCAGATTAATAATAATAATAGAAGTAATTTCGGTACAATTCAACTGTTACCTTTCGATTAATAAGAAGAATAAGTGCCTGCGCTATGTGGCACCGTAAACCCGACGGCAGCGATCTTGCAGATGAATTAAGCAAATCCGCAAGCTGTTTGGGAAATTCAATAAGATGTTTACGGTAAAACGGAGTGACATGAGCCAAAAACATGGCCCTGTCACTAAGGTCCTTAGCCACTGAAGGGTCGCTGCCAATGCCACCGATGGAGCTGAAGTGAAGAGATGCTTGCTGTTTGAAGAGCTCCATAGAGGATTTGAATTGGCTGTAGAGGAGAACCAACTCAGACTCGTACCCCTCTGGATCACACTTCATCTTCGATTGCAGCAATGGCAAGCTTAGCTTCTCAGGGACCGAACTCATTGTTCCGAGAACTTCTAAACCAAGAATTTTATTCGCAGCCGCCGTTGGTGGTGGTGCTCACTGGCGGTGACGCCGCCGACGAGAACGAAAGAGAGGAAGAGAGAGGGGCGGCTTTACGATTTTTTCTTTTCGTTTTAGGTTAAATTATATGTCTCTTAAAATACGCTCCCTAGACCATTATTTATTTTTTTTTATTTTTTTTTTTTTGCTAACAAAGTTAATTTTATGTTTAATAATTCTCTAAATTTTAAATAAATTTAACAGCTCTTAAATAATTCTCACCTGTTATAAAACTTTTGATCCTGGCCCACCTCTAGTCTCTAGCCCACCAAATAATTCGCCGTAAAATTCTTTGCTCAACCCCGTCAAATATAATTTTGTGATGAATCTCTATTTTTTTTTTATCCACAGTAAAAAGTTTTTCACTATCTATGTCTGCCACATTATCTTATTTTGATTTTCTTTTTATTCCTATCTAAATTTTTCTCTCTTTTCTATCATCGGGTTCTCCTCATCTTTTTCGTCTATTTTCTTATTTTGACTAAAAAGTAATTGCAAGATTGAAAATAATAATTTTGAGAATTAAAAAGTTTGTGAATTAAGAAATAGTCTCAACCAAATTCTAAATCTGTGGATTTTATCAACATCAAGTTCGTAAACAAAACCAAATTCTTGTTTGCAATTCTATAATTTAATTATGTATGATCAAAAAATTATGAAAAACTTTTTCCTTGTTTTTATTTATATTCTTTTTCTACCATATCTCGAGAATGACAATCTCAAAGACAATCTCAAATTTGCATGTTTTATTATGGCACCAGGATTGTCAAAAGGACCATTTATGCCTGACCAACCTTTTATATGTGATTGTATTAGGAACACAAAAAAAAATGTTATGCCTCAAAGTAAAACAATGTACTAATCTAAATTCGATTTTATTATTGGTAAAAATAAAATAAAATAATTTGGTTTCGTGCAGTGAAAGATTACATACATAAGTTTTTTTTATTATTAATTATGTAGACAGCCCCTGAATAAATAGAAAAAAAAATAACGATAAAATTTAAAATCCAAAAAATAATTAAAGATTTGAAGTGAATGTAATTACATTTTTTTTTTTGGTTGGGATATTTGCTGGAATGGAAAAGAAAAGGAAAAATTTGCTAATATAGATTTTTAATATTAATTTATTGATTAAAAACTAAAATTTGACAAGCCAAATCGAGCGATGTTCAACGGTAATTGACATATATTTCCAACCAAGAGATTGTGAGTTCGATTCTTCACCCTCACATTTCATATTTCAAAAAAAAAATTAAAACTTTTTTTTTACCTAACATAATTTGAAATCCATTTGAAAAAATTGCAGACAACCAAAAAGACGAACTTGGACATGGTAGTACCATTAAAATTTTTATTAAGTCTAATAGTTTTAATGGGTATATGTAGTTTTTCTCTGGAGAAGAGAAAAATGTCACAAATTCAATATGCAATTTAGATTTTCAGTTAAATTCATTCTATGCTATAGCAATTGAAAAAAATGTTAAAACTGCCAAAATTCAGGTTGATACAACAAAAAATGAGAAAGGGAACCAAAAAAAATGGAGCAACAACCAAATATAGAAACCAGAATTATCAAACCTTCACTTCCATCTTAGTGACTGCCTGATCCCTGTATAGATGAGCCCTAAAGATCTTCCAATCAGGCAAACTAGAAAGAACGATATTCCGCTACTGATTTTATCGATTACTACTCTTATCAACGGCATCGTAATGTCAGATAATTCGATCAATAGGCTGAAGTAATACCTCCTGCAGTAGTCACAAAAATTTACGATTCTGTTAACTCAAATCACCGGAAAATACATCCTATAGATAACATGGGAAACACCATTTGAAAATATTGTGGAATCGATTTTTTATCGTTCGGGAACTCAAGAGAAAGCATACTAAAAACCAAGAGGGACAAAATTCAAAGTGAAATTTTATTGCGTCTAAACATGTAACATATACTGCAACCAAACATACTAGTGCTTAAAATTACGCTTAAGAAAACATAACCAAATACACATGTATTTTAGTTAAAGCTATTTTTATAGAAGTATTTTTTAAAAAAAAATATTTGTTTAAAAAACGTTTAAATTAAAAGGTATACCAAACTCATCCTTCGCCCCAATACATGTCCCCTCGGACTCCTAAATCAAATTGTTCTAACTAACTTCCCTAGAAGATTAAGTTCTTTGGGTGGCAAGTCTTACTTGGAAAAGTCAATACCATGGATCGTGTTCAGACGATGTCTTCTTTTTGTCTGGGCCCGCAGTGGTGTGTTCTTTGTAGGAGTTCGTCGGAAGATCTCGATCACTTGTTGTGGACTTGTCGGTTTGCACAGGATTTATGACTTCAGTTCTTTAAATGTTTTGGAATTGTCTGGGTCCGTTCTAGAGATTGTAGGGCGATGATGGAGGAAGTGCTGTTATCCCTTCCTTTCCGTGACAGGGGTCGTTTTCTTTGGCAGGTGTGTTTTCTGGCTGCTTTATGGGGTCTCTGGCTGGGGAGGAACAATAGACTGTTTAGGGGGGCGGAGAAAACTGTGGACTATGTTTGGGATCTTATTAGGTTTAATACTTCCTTATGGAGTTCGGTCACTAAGGCCTTTTGTAATTATCAATTAGGTCTCATTCTTTTGGATTGGAATCCTTTTCTTTAGGGGTTCCCTATTGCAGGGTTATTTTTTGTGTGCCCTCGTTTTTGTATCTATTTTCATTTCTCTCAACGAAAGTGCAGTTTCTTATGAAAAAAAAAAAAAAACTTCTCTAGAGTCCTCATATCTTCTAACTTCTTTCCCAATACATTAATTATTTCTTCCCTTTTCTCTCGAAAACACTTTATTTCGGGGTACATTGACAATTTTACGGGAATTCCGCTTTTTCCCAGCAACACAGAGTACAAGTTCAAAGCATGCAACAAACTTCTCCTGTTAAAGCTATTACAGAAACTATTACAGAAAATTAACAGAAAAAGCGATTGTCCACCTTGAATTGAATTTGTGCTTGATTAAACTGCAACTAAACCCCAAAACTTCAACTGATGATTTACGGTAAAATTAATTTTTTATTTATACTCGCCACCCCCCTCACTTTTGGGCTTAGAAATAAGCTTCTTTCCTTGTTTGGTTGGTCAACTGCATTGACCACAGATATCTCAAAGCTCCTCGATTATACCCTCAATGGTCACCCTTTCAAAAAGGAGAAACTTTACCTTTGGCATCATTTTATCCGAGCTTTACTATGGACGATATGGACAGAAAGAAATCAGCGAATTTTCCTAGGGAGCGCACACATCAACTCATTTTTTAATCTACAGTTTTTTGTTATCTCTTGGTGTAAATGCTCCCCTCTTTTCCATCCTTACAGTTATGCCTCCCTCTTATCTAACTGGAGAGCCTTTTTGTAGCCCTTTTCTTGGGCCTTATGTTCTCATATTTCATATAAAATAGTTTATTTATCCAAAAAAAATAAATCGAGCTCTTATTGAGAAAATATGAAAGAACAAATACAACAAGAGCATACAAAAAGATTGTCCACGAAAGAAGTCCCAAGGCTGACTATACAAGAAGGGACTCCAATTCAAAATAATAAGACCTAAAGAATAAGAAAACTCCTTAATAACCAACGGTCAAACAGAGACGTTAAACCTAACAAGCGACCATAACATCTCAAGCGACCTCTCCTAATCTCTAAAAGCTTTGTTTTCCTTTCCAACCAAAGACTAAAACCTCTGATACCATGGGATTATCAATATTAATTGGGGTGTAAAATGAAATTTCAGCAGTTTGAACCAAGGCCTCCTACTCTAACGTCATGTCAAATTACATTTAACCTAAAAGTTCAAGCCGATGGTCACAAAAAAATTAATCTTTTTACTTGGACTAATTTTTTTTTACTTAGACTAAATTTGAGAATTAAATGGATGAGATTGAAAGAACGTACCATCCCCTTAAAGCTCTCAACTCCTTGGTCCGCTTTACAGGCATGGAGAAGGAACGTATCACGACATAATGTAACTGAGATGACAAAGTTTCTGTTCTTCTAAGGAATTGTCTCATCCACCAATTATCAATCTTGGCCTGTCTACTGCCTGGTAGCTCAATCAGTTGACTCCCAAGCGTACATAAATCAAATCGATCTTCATACATCGATACGATTGCCTCGACGTTTTGATACAACCACTGGTTCATAACCACCTATCAAGATATCCACCCTTAAAATTTTCTTCAATATATGGAAATCATTTTGCACAAAAAAAAAGGTCAATCTAGTGCAGTCTTCCTTGAATAATTGAAATCATCTTTTTCTCGTTACCATCAAGTTTTAACTTTTAATCTGACTAATGTATGTCTTTCATTCTTTAACCAGTGCAACTCAAAGTATTACAAATTTACAACACAAGTCCTCCCTCTCATATGCAAAAAATCAACCACCGTCTTTTGTCCCCAGATCACCTAGAGATTTTTATTTTTCACAAGGCAATTTAAAACAATAAATTAGTCATATAAGTTGTTCCTTTGCAAAGCTGAGCTCTGAAAACTTTTTCGGCAACTAAAAGGGGGAAGCAATAAATGAAGGGAAGTATTTTGTTCCTATAAATTGGTCAGTCGCATTAAGGAAGTTTCTTCATACATCTTCAAAGCAGAAAAACATTAATAAGGGAAATTGCAGTCAAACTAATCAAGCAAGAGTAAAATTTTGTGAAGGAACAAAAGAATCAACACAAGGCAATGAAGTAGAATGTTTTTCCATTCAATAAACGGGAAAACAAAACTTTCCCTATTTGGTAAAACGTAGAAAATAAGGTACCTCATTACGCAATCTTTGGAGTGCTCGTGTTGATAGGTTACACAGTGCCAAGCCAACGTTATCCACTTCATCAGAGAAACTGCTATCAACGGATATAAATTCCAGATACATACTTGCAATCCCGTCAGCAAATGTTATCAGCAAATCTTCCAATATTGAAATTCCATGCTTAACGTACAGGCTATGGTCATAATAGCAATAATCCCTGCCAAAAACAAAATTCCAAAAAGAGGCCGCCTTATAAGACAAGTGATGGAAGAATTATATGAATCTAGTCTAAGCACTCATTTAAGTATCTGAAAAAATAAGAAGCCAATCTCATAATGTAGTGTGCAAAAATCTCAGCAACTGGAAAGTTCAAGTTACAAGCAAGCTGTAGCTAGTAGGCTTTAAAGATGGCACGTAACACAAGTAATAAACACTTGACTTAGGAGAACTAGTACCTACACATGTGACAATGACATAACAGCCATCGTATCCTAAGCTGAGAAGACCAACTATGTGTCTCAGTCAGACACAGAAATTTTAAAGAAAATGCAGGGAAATTTTTGCTCATCAGTTTCCAATCAAGTCTGTTATATTTCCTGTCAATTTTTATTAGACCAACCAGCTTGCTCCAAACAGCCCTTTCTTGAGAAGAAACAGAACTTTTCATTGAGCAATCGAGAAGTTAAACAGTTAATCATAGAGTAATTATAGAACAACCAAAATCCCCAACATTCAAAACACCAAAGAATACAAAAGTTACAGACTAATTGCATATTTTGCGAACTTGGACATTCCAATTGCCTACTCTGAATAATTGGGTAAGTTTGTGTTGCTTGTCATGGTCCCTCTTTTGGTGTGAGATTATTCTGGGTCAGGAAGTCACTTGCTGCCCAAAGAAGAGTATACCAACTAGCTGGCCATGTAAAAGGAGAGTGGGCTAAAGGGGCATATAGTTAACTGCTGCCAGTCCATTCACACAGTACCCCCAACAAAGACAGCCATCATATTCCCAAGATCACATCTGAACTTCCTAATGGCAAAGGCAAGGAATCCTCAGCCATGGTCAACTCTGCTAAAGGTAAAACTACTCCCTTCTATTTTACTGCTCGACAAAATATCTTGTTCATCCACGGACTCTATTAATATAAATTGGCGGGTGTTTCCATCTTCTCAGTAGGCCCATTGAGCTGGAACTTTCAGCTCTACTTCAATTTCCTCCTTCACCCCATTAACGGATTGAATTTCTAAAATAAACTCACAGAAACTCAGCCACACCTTCACCTTGGTGCAAATTTCCAATGACGTTCTTTGACAATTGTTTCTTGCGAGAGGGGCAAAAGCTTCTCACTCAACAAGCCCTCCAGAGTTGGTTGGAATCAATGCAAAATAACCTACAAAACTCCTCCCAGCTTCCCGTCAGACATCTTCTTTCCATCACGACAATGCTTGACCATCAAAACAAACTACGGTCCCTTACAGGTTCTCACTATCAAACAACCGGTTTACCACAAAGTATCTTTCCATCCTATGTAACCTCCATCTGGATTTGTTCTATCAAAAATTGACCCCTCAAAATTCCATAGTTTCAAGTCAAAAGTTGACACCAATCCATTGATTTGAATTGATCCATCGTTGGATCCCCACCACTCACTCCAAGTCCACCCTCATCAACAACAGCTTCAGTCTAAGTAGCATCCATTTGCACCCTTCTCTGTTCCTTACTCTTTTCTATATTGCTCTGATGCCACAAACCTTCCAACCTCTGTACCACGAACTCTATTCCTTTCTCTAAAGTCTTCAGCATTTCTTCCATGAATAGAGTTATCTCCTTCTCCATTGCACTCAACTCCAAGTCCAACAATAGAATCGTGCACCCCCATCATCCTTTACTCCACTGCTTCCAATAGATTTTCCTTTTTCTTTAACTACAACAATATAATTATGAACTCCCATAATCTCAACTCTATTCTTCCAATTGGTTATTTAATTTACCATTTTTTTTTCTAGCTACCACTTTGGCACTTTGTACAATATAAATCCTTAGAAACCAAAATGATGGAGTTCAACTATTATTGATAACAAAGATGTACATATCCAATCAGAGATTCAAGAGCTCATGTACTAAAACTGTCTAAGACTTGAGCCAAAAGCCAAAAAGATACCTCTCTTAACCATATGTTAAGTTTATATACACTCTTGGACTATCCATGCTTACAACATAACTAGATAACCACAAGGGCCCCCCCACCCTTTTTTTTTTATAATCGAAAGTCGGAGCTTTGCTCTGTTATACCCGAGGGCACCCGTGCCCGCCCCAAGGCCCAAACCTGAAAGACATCAAGGATTTTTTATATTAAGCCCATCCGAAGGTTCGAACTTGAGACCTCTAAGCCAGTATGACCAAGCCGCAAGCTCTTGCCAACAGGCACCCCTTGGGGTCTTGGGCCCCACAACTTTTATAAACTATGTTTATGTGATCCCACATGGCCCCCACAACTTTTATAAACTTATTTTATGTGATCCCACATTTTTTGTTTCTTTTTATGTAAAAGGTTTTATATGTATAACATAAATATTCCAGCCACGGATTAAACACACGTACAGTATTGAAGGTCTACCAAGCAAGGAAGAATTGGAGTACCAAAGTTAAATTCTGATTTCCCTTTGACTAAAGAGAATGGTGTTTATATCATAATTTCATTTGCAAAATATGATGAAACTTCCTTTTCCTTAGACAGAATAAGAAAACAAAATACCTGCGAGCACCAAAACTAAGAAAGTGCATCAATTCTGCATACAGCTCTTCTTTGCCAGACTTTTTAATACCTTGTAAAATATTGTCTTCTGCTTTAAGTTTCTCAGACATCAAAGAAAGAAATGCCTGTATACAATCAAGAAAGGAAGGGGGCAAGAGTTTAAACTAGAAAAGACAAGCAAATAATAAAATGCACATTTGAAAGATACAACTTGTTCCTAGAAGTACCTTGCTAGAATCATTCTTTTCCATTGACAGTTCTTTTTTCAGCCAAGACCTGCATACAGGGTGAGAAGATTTTTGGATAAATTTAGAAAATATTTTAGACAAATCATCCATGTTCTGAATAGTGGTATTGGAAATATTGTTGACCTGCAAAACAGATGTCAAATTATCAAAAGATGCAAAAGTTTCTACAACGAAGTTGAGAATTCTGAGAATATTCAATTTCCTAAAAAAGAATTATCAAATTAGTTAGCAAACTAAAATCCCATGAAATCAAGGAAAGAGAGCTTTTGCTGGATGCACACTCCACTGGGCATGAGAACCAGAAACTACATTTGAGCTGAGAGGCAGGGAGTTTCAAAGAAGCTGAAAGATTGTTTGCAACTTTGACTGAGAGTTACAGAGATTCCAGATAAAAGGGTGAGGCTCCTAACTTTCGGGTAATTTCTCTATCAAATCTTTGTATAGACTTTTAACACACGTGCACGCGCGCGCGCACACACAACAAAAATGAATTGCCAATCAAGTGGAAAAAGCAGTCTGGAAAAAAGAAGTTCCCCAAGTAAACCAAGTTTTTATGTGTAGGCTTCTCTTCTTAGCATTTTTCTTTTTGGATAACCGAGAATAAGAGCTCTTCTTGGATGCATGAACACTGGGGAAATCTTACAACGAAGGTGATGCTCAGACCAAATTGGTGTGTGTACTGTGATACCAAAATGAATAGTGCCAAGATCATTTATTCTTCCTTTGCTCAAACAGTATATTCCATTGGGACGCTTGTCAATCAACGACTTCAATGACATGTACTTAAAAGACAAGGCATAATTCTTAGGATGAATGGGGTGAGGCCCTGCTTCGGGAGTTGTGGCTACAATGTAAGAACAGGATCTTCTCACACAAAGGAAGAGAGAGAGGATATAGCAAATTGGGCTGTGGTATGAAAGAAATCAGAGACTTTTTGAAAGAAAAAGTAGAACACTGGATGTTTGCTTCAACATAGCTAAGTTCAAGGCCTCTCAATGGTGTGCTTTTTTTCAAATTATTCTGTTAGCATGATACATGCACATTGGAGCTTTATTTTTCCGTTATAGTTGCTTAAGATGGATGGTATTGTTTCAATTTATGTTTTTGTTTTTTATCTTTTAGCTTTCTTCGCTTCCTTTGGAGTTTGTATCTTTTGAACATTGTATTCCTTTTCATTAAATCAATGTAAAAGTTTGTATCTTGTTAAGGAAAAAAAAAATTGGGCCTCTTTGGCAAGTAGTTTTGTAACTGACTCTGCTTCGAGCAATTCTTTTTAAGCTCGTGGAAAATGTTTGTCTCTTATCAGCAAGAGAGGTAGGAAGATGGAGAAGCTCATGATGGCAAAAGAAAAAACAGAATCAAGCAGTTATGTAAATATCATTAGGATACAATCCTCACATAAAAAATGCAAGACAGCTCATTGTAATTTATAGATCCCACATGAGGTACTGTACACGTAACGACATGCTATTATTAAAAAAAAATAGAAAAAAAAAAAGAGAGAGAGACTATCATAAAGGAAAAAATTCATAGTTAAAGCAGCCTGAAAATGACAAAGGAAAAATATGTTCCTCAATTCATAAATATTCGAGTTTCAACACCAGTTTGCATATTTATCTCATAATGTAAAATATACGAACTACATAACAAGTAACAACCACCCACAGATTAACAAAAACATGCAGAATTTTTTTCTTTTTTTTTTTTTTGTTGATTGAAAAGAACATGTAGAATATAATGTGGCAAGAGAGTACAGTACACTTAGATGCCTAACCTCTTCCTCAATTAGTTGAAAAGAAGCCCAAAGCAACCTTAACCTCGGACCCTCAGCAATTGCATTCAAGCTTAGAGGTTGCTTGACATGACATTCTGCAAATTCAAATACCTCATTTTCCATACTTTTCCTACGCTCAAAGGCATCTAGAAAATCCAAAATCTTTCCTTTAACTACATGCAATGCATTCTTCGGATTAATTTGATCTTCAGTCTTCATGCCACTACAATAAAAGAATATATAAATAAAATATGAAATGAAACCCCAAAATAAAGAGCAGACATAAAGTGCAGATACACACATCAAAAAACAATGCAGCAAACAGCAGATTATATTAGTTAGAGACAACATATCTCAACCTTGAAACTGCGCACCCTTACCTACCAGAAAAGGTCGGGTTATCAGAGGCTGCACTGGTATGAGAGATGATACTTCCAGGTTGATTGGACTTTGGAACAGGTATTACTCCAGCCATATATGTAAGAAATATACTGATCATCAGAAGCAATTGATCAACAATAAGTACCTCAGAGGCTGCTGTTCCATCAACATTTACCAAAGACCTTAGGTAAGCGTGCTCCCTGAAGGTCTTCCTAGGAGCAGGATTTACAATTAACTTTGAGCCACCAAAGCCACTAAGCTGACACCTTCTCCAAGCTGAGATCCTTATGAACTTATTGTTCTCACAAGAGGATTTTCTGAAATACAAAAGTTAAAGTAAGAACATCAAAATGTACTTAAGAACCAACAGAAAAAGGCATTCAACTTATACTCATTGTTAAAATGAGAACATCAAACAATTGTATTTTTGAACAATTTTCTGTTCCTTTTCATTGATTCGTTTCTTGTTTAGAAAAGGCAAACAAAGCTTATAAAAAGAATGAAATCATTTTTGAGAGCCTCCCATGAAAAGAAACAAATACATAACAGTTTCATTAAGAGAGCATGAGGAAGAAACCATAAACAATCACGACCGAGACACACCATTCACTTTAGTTTATCTTTCTAACATCTCAGCACTATTGCACAAAAAAACAAGTTTAGACTTTAATGGTCACTTTCTAACCTAAACGAGACTTGTAGACATTCAAAAAAAGAGGCAAACATAATTAGGGCCAATTTTACACGTATGCACGGAATGGAAAGGACTGTACTGAAATAAAATAAAACTGAGGTAAGCAAATAAGCCAAATCAACCTCTGTTCTATTTTAAAACTGAAATTGCATGGAGTGGAGCTTTTCATTTTGAAGGGAGTTCTCCGAATTTGCAGTTTGATACATGGAGTGACAGCCACGTGCTCTGCCATCTGTAAAAAGTCCATTGATTTCAGTAACACAAATAATGGCGAAATAATTTTGAATGTGGCCAGCAACACATCATATCCTACATGAAAGGTTAGATAAAAAACTTAGTTTGTAAACCTCACAGAAACAATGAGGCCAAAATAAGCCAAAGCACTTGGAAGAAAGGGGGAAAAACATAATTACATTTAAAAACCAGAGGTAAGTGAAACAAGTTTGATATTATTTCTCATAGCAAATAAGCAATCACATATACATGTCAACGAAGATGCATCCTGTTTGGAAATTCATGTCTAATCCATTGAGCTGTGCTCGAATTGGCAAAATAAAATATCCTCTTTTCTTGTTAGTCATTAATCACGGTAAGAATAATTAATTCTAGACATCCTTCCATGTACCAAAAATATGCGAGGATGTTTTTACGCGAAACCCTTTCGAAAGACGTCACTTCTTTGTGGTCTCCCTTTAGTTTACATCTAGAAAAACTGCGTATCTGATCATGATTTTTGTTGGGTTCTGCAGCATGCCTAAGTTGGTGTAAGATTTCTTGATGACAATGACTAGGGGACTGAAGTCAACTTAAGGATAGACCCATTTGTCACTATAATGTGCGTAATCTATTGAGTAAAAGCCCAAGGCAAATGGGACATGACTGACGACTTTATTTTGTGGTTTCTTTTCAGCCTTCCGAACAATTAGCAATATTGATCCAAGAAACCACCTAATAAATAAAATGAAGAAACTGGGTGGACTGGACGATTAGCGCAGAGCTCGACGAGTCATATGCAGAATAATGCGGATTATAAACATCTGATTCCTCTTTACTTTAGCCGTTGAACTTTAGAGAGTTAAATTTTCAATCTCCTATAACTAACCCAATCACCGTATTTCCATCTTTACTTTAAATTTGTTTTCTTGCCGTGAGAAACAAAAAAATAGAAGTCCCAGGGAAGTCGCCGTTGTTGCCCCAGTAAGAGTGTCAAAATCATCAGAACATGTACACACAAACCCAAAATATAACATTAACAAAACTAGCAATTTACATTAACTTCACCACAGAAATTCATATCATCAATGAAATATTTGTTTCATATAAAAAAAAACTAAAAAAAAAAACTAAACTTCACCACAGAAATAGTTGACCGCCATTGCACTTCAGATCCATTTTTCAAATAAAAAGACAGACTAAATCCACAAACATCATTAGAAAGATGGAGAACTATACCGAAAATTTAAAAAACGGAGGGGGAGCCAGTGACCTTGAGCGCAGGAGAGTTACTCGGGTCCTCAAATTCAATGAGCATAGAAAGAAATCACAGACGAAGTGAAAGTCAAAACTGAATGGATGGTAGGAAAGAACATTTTCTACGAAGAAGACGAAATGAGAATGGATTGGCGATGAGAGTAGGATTATCCATGAGAGATTGAAGGCTGTGAGGTGAAGACTGAATGAAGAGGAAGATTGATGGAGTTGATGAGGATTAGAAATGTGCGTCCTCTTTTTTCCTTTTTTTCTCTCTCTTTTTTTTTATTCATCAAACAAATATTTCTTATCCTAATTACAAAATCAAGGATGAAAAAAACTAACAATAATCCATTTCACAACGTAAGTTTGATATATATGCCAATTATCGAGCTATACTCTCTTTGACACATATTACTTTTTTTTTAAAAGTTATGAATAAGAAATATCATAGATATATTAAAAAAAAAAGTTAAACAATACTTTTACGTTTTTAAACTTTATTTTGCAACGATTTATTTTATATCGTAAAAATTTTTGTTAGTATAACGATAATTCGACGAGAGATCAAGTTTATAAATTACAAAATCAACCCTTAATTTTGACGGAATTTTCTAGGGTTGGGCTATATTAACAAATTTTAAACTATAGAAACTAAATTATTATATACTAAATCTAAAGGTATAGATACTAAATTTGTTACCGATTCAAATCTAGAGACTAAATCGTTATATGGACTAAATGTGTCTTTAAACCAAAAAGGAAAACGAGAAGAAATAGAATTTCAATTGTTCCATTCACTGATAATCAAACTCAAAACTATGAGAGATTAACGATGACAATCTGCCAAATAATCGAAGTATTCGAGTCAACTCAGATTCGGATGATTTCTTATTCATAGACTTTGAGTAATCTTACGCAACAAATTGTGATCTAACGATATTCAGCATCAATACGCTCGTAAGATATTTAACATAGGAATCCTAAATAGGCGATTACTATATGAGTATCTTGAGACCGAATAACTAACTTATCATCACCTGTATGTATATGGGTTACATTCATTACAAGACTAAAAACAAGAGAAATCAACGTCGCAAGACGATTACTCTTCGTCATTCGTTACATCGAGAGGAGGATCAAGGTTCACAGTAGATTCTGAATATGGGTCGGGTTTCGAGAGTTGTTGTGGATCAGTCGAAGTAACTGCGATCGTAGGTGATGTTATTGAGGGGGAGATGGGTTCTTGTACTTCTATGGAATCACGTGCAGCTTTGTCCTTGGCTCTCTTAGCTCTTTCTATCACCTCCTCCTGTATAAAGGTCATTTAGGTATGAATATGCCATTTTCAGCATAGACAGAAAAGAAGGAAATTAAAAGGAATATTGAGTACTATAGTTTTTAAACTTTACCTATCACTATTGAGTTTTTTTCACCTCATGTAATCCAATCTAACCATGAAGGAGTAAAAACAGCCCATGCCCATAAAAGTAATATCATCCAACCATAACGATGCTCATAGCTATCCACAAGTCTTAAAACAATATATATATGAAAACTCAACTTTGAGGTATAATTTTCATTATTTTTAAATTTAAGGTTCAACGGGATAAAATTGAAAGTTTAAAGTTAAGATTGACACCTCGAAGGAGTAAAATTGAAATTTCCCCTAAAATGATTAATTTTGAGATGTTCATCTCAGTCACAGTAACCACCATCATAGACCATGCATCATGGTTTCAGTTAGTTCATGTCAAAAACTTCAGTCCGACAGGTACATTCAAAAAGTTCTAAGCCATAGTTGTCATCAGATACCAAACTCATTAGTAGTTTACTTAAGAAGCTAACCTCCAGAAAATTAAACATTTTCGAAACATCAGCCATGGATGTTTTTGTACAGTTCACGGTGGAAGAAACCACAATGCAGTTGTTATAAAGAAGATTGGGAAGTTGCAAGAAAATTTATGTCTGTAAGTTCTTCCTTGATGCACTGTAGTAGGGGAAACATTTGTTAACCGGAAAAGAAGATAGAAACCTTCAAAAGTTGGAAGGGGAAGAACCTGAGTTCACTATCCTTCATTCTTCAATTAGATAAAGTGAAAATAGAAAAGAAAGCTACAAGAAATCCTCTGCAAGATTGAACTACAATAAAACACACAAATGGGAAGAAAATGATAATCAGAAGCACATATCAGTCATTCAAATCTATCATTAATTTTGGAGCATCCTACCTGGAAATCAACAATTTGTTTTTGTCGTTCAGCTTGCAGCCTCCCGATCCCACTCAGAACCTCTCCAACTGTTGACTCGATACGCTCAGTCAAGGCTTCTGCTAGAGCTTTCCCTAAGAAAAAGGCATCTAGAACAGTCCTACTGTCGCCATCACCTGTGTCATACAGCTAGCTCATTAAATGCTTGACAACAGCAACAAAACGAGATGATCACGGAACCAGAAAGCAATCTTATCACATAGTTTGTACTGAATTTCTTTTAATAAGATAAATACTATCTTCTTGAAGTTGTATACTATTCCTCCTTTCACATATCAGAAATGTGCATAAGACAAATACAGAGAAGGGGTAATTCTGTGAAAGGGCACGTGGGAGTTCTATTGAACATCAATTGTAGTGGATTTTCTCATAGTCCTAGAACCCGTCAACAGAATCGATTTCCTTGATGTGGATTAAAAAACAAAGTTGGATATTTAATTCACGATTATCATTTTGGAACTAATTTTCATTGTTATTGAGCAAGTTGTTCACGAAATCAGAAAACAATGCGATAATTAACAGCTTAAATAAAAGAAGTCTCAAGAGAATTTAAGATCTCTTAGATCTTTCTACCAACTCCCCCTCGATCCTCAATCCGTCTCAAATGCTAATAGAACTTCCAGATTTTCTCCAAAAGCAAAGAGTGCCATATTTCCCATATTTCCTCCTCCACATTATTTGAAGCAGAGGACATTCTTCACAACGTCACAGGTTTCATAATTGGGTCCAAAGTCAAATTTCAAAAGAGTGAAAGGAAAACGAATTCTCACTCTAGAAAATTAATAAGCTCTTAATAAGACAACCGCATTCAGCTAAAGAAAGCAAACAGAAGCTTCAGCTGGTGGTATGAGGAAAACAAAATTGAAATACTAATCTTTACCAAATCTCACTCAATTAGGTGAACTTAAACAGTAGGTAGTCACGCAATCAGATAGTTCCATGTGAGAAGTAAATTCACTCAACTAAGAGTCAAAACAAACGCAGAGATTCACTAAAATCTCAGAATCAAGAAGAGAGAGAAAACAAAACAAGGAAAAGGGAAAGTCATCATCGTCGTGTTCTTCTTCTTCTTCTTCAAATGGAGAACAAACCAACAAGAAAAACAAACCAAATAGCTTCGTAATTTATTCACCAACAACAAGAGATTCGAAAACAAAAAAGAGAGGAGGCGAAGATTAAGGTACCGGAGCCGAAACCACCGGGGCCGGAGCTGCTGCAACAACGAGCTTTGGATCTGGGAGAGGAATTTGGTGGAAAATGTGGAATTCCTCGAAGCTTGAGATTTGAGGGAGTGGAAGGGGAGCGGGATACAGCAAGATTTGGAGATGAATGGTGGGTAAATTTGGGTTTAGTGTGCAAAAGTGAAAAAGGGGACGAGGAAACTGAAGCTCGAATCCCACTCATTTTTGTTTTCCCGGTGAGAGGGAAAATATTTTGCGTCAGTTTCTCAGAGTTTCTCGCTGTTTTTCGTGGCAGCCAAACAGGAGGGAATATATGAAACGAGCCGGTACTGCGCAATGACAGTGACCCGAAACCACCGTCATTCGGTCTACCCAATTACCACTTCACTGGATCGGGTTTTGCCAACCCATACCATAATTATTAATTACGGGTTTACTTTGTTTGGTATTAAATTTTTTTTCTCAAATTTACTTCATTAAATGGTTTATTTCTGAAAATAAGATTTGCATTGTTTTTATATTTTGGGATTTTTTTATTAGTATTATTGATGTTGAAATATGGAGGGTTTACGTGCCCTTCGATCGAAGTCGGTGTGGTGCCCCGTCTAATGCCATACGACGATCAAGTTAATAATTGTAAGAAAGAATTGGTAAGTGTCCCTTGGTATTTAGTGACAAATTTTTCACTTACAATGTGGTTGTAGTATCTTGTCTCTTTATAGGTGTTGGAGCCGACTAGGGAGGACACCTAACGCGTGACATGGTAGGGGACATTTGTATACGAGCTCTGATGGGCCATTAAAGGACATTCCTGAAGTGTGGTAGCGTCCTCATCGCCTGCCACCCTAACCCCATGCAGATGTCTATCAGCATCGTTTCTTCGATTGGTCGTTCGTTCTTAGGGATTTGGCCACCACTGCCATATGCTACCCTATTAGCTTCTAATGTTTCCTACTCGATTCTCACCCTCAACAAATACTATATAATTTAACAATATTACAAAATATATATATACACACACAAGAGTATAGTACTTTTCAGAGTATTTAAAATGTTGGGATATTCTTTTTAAAGCATTGAGAAAAGTGTAGTATTTTGATGATAACGCATATTGTTCCTATTTTAATTGAGAAAATCTTAGGGTGAAGATACAATTATTTGATGAAATTATGTCATAAGGGAAGACAACCCATGGTTTTAGGAGAGTGAGAAAAATTTTAGTGGTTGTTTATTTTCAAGCACGAACTTGGCTATAGACGATGAAGCATTAGTGCCCATCATAATCTTTTATCGAACTTAAGATGCGAATCTTTTATCGAACTTAAGATGCGATGAATGAGCTTGACCATTCGATGAGAGATAAAGTGAGAAAGGGGTGATCATTGGCCGTTCGAGGTCAATTTTTTGCCAAAACCATCATCAAATGGACCAAGTCGATTTCATATTTTGGAAACTGAGTTGTTTAAAAATCATCTTTAATTTGATCGATTGACCAGTCGATTTTAATTGAAATTATATTATTTTTTCATATTATTATTATTATTATTCCATGTATGTGTGAACCTAGAGGTCGAACTTAGATGAAAAAGACACGAAATTGAAGGAAGAAGAAGAAGAACGATGATGGGTGAGAATGATTCAAAGCAAATGTTAATGATTGTTTTCGACTTGCATTTTAGAAATAAATTTCATTGAAGCAACATAGTACACTTATAGCGAAACACCCAGTGTCTTGAGGTAGATACAACTCTTTTTCTTCTTGGAGTCAAACTAGCCGAATGCTAATGTRACATTGATGAGTTAGTAATTTTGAGGTTACGTGGCATTTTTTTTTTCCATTTCCCACTCTTTTTTCTCTCTCTTTTCTCTGATGCTCCTGAGTTGTTCGTTAGTATACTAACAGAAGTTTGACTCCTAAAGATAACTCTTTCGATCGAGAACCAAACGGTTAGTTTTTGAAACTTAAGGATGAAATATTACTCTTTACCCCTCTTTCCATATTCGAAAATATTTATAAAAAATGTTCAAATAATTACACTACACAGGTATACCACTTTCGAAGCCCAAATGGCCCGGCCCGTTAGCTCCACTTTATTTACAACAAAATATAAGAAAAGAATTATTGTAAGAAACCCTAGCCGCCTCCTGTCATTCCGTTCAGGCACAGCTCAGTAGCACCGCCGCGCCGCTGCCGCCACCGTTCCCTTCCTCACAGTCACCGATCTTCTTCCTCCCTCTCTCCATCTCGATTCCTCTCTCTCTCTTTCATGTTTCAGTTTAGAGGTCGGTTCTACGATTTTATTCTCAAACCGATTAGGTTCTGTTCGAAACCAATATTTTCTCATGGGTTCGGTTCTCAAATCTGACAAACCCAGACCGTAGCTTAGGAGTCGGCAGAGGAAGGGGACGAAATTCTCTTCATTCACTGCTTCTCTCTGTCTTCAAGATTAGTATTAGTTACCATTCGAAAGTTCTCTCTCGTAGCAGCAGGTGGCCGCTTCTTCTCCCTCTGAATAATCGTTTTGCGGCAGATCTGGAGAAGGGTAGGGCGCCTTGTTTTATTTATTTTAAATTTCCATTTGATGGATGCCTTATTTAGTTTTTTGTTCCTTGGGTTACTGCAATTACTTGGTCGTTTTTAGATGATTGAGGAATTTGTTATTGCAACGATCCTATTTTATTTATTTCATTAGCTTTTTAGATTTCATAATTTTTGGTAATCAGTTAGTATTAATCTTTTATGTATGTATTTTTGTAGAGCCTCAACTTTTTTATAACTTGAAAAGTTATTGATAAAATCCTTTTCCAAATGAAGAAAAACATTTTTTCCTAAGAAATGAAATAAATAAACTAGACAATCTTATTAAAAAACAAATCCAAGAACTTTCACTTTTTGACAAAAAATAGTTATATGTTTTTATATGAATACTTGGGGATCATGTAATGCATTGCTGTAAAATTATTTTTCACTCTTGCAGCATGCATGAGGAATAATTATTTTGGAATGTGACAACTAGGTAGGTCATGGCAGAATCAAACTCGCCTGGTTCATTTCAACCTCCTCCTGTTCCTCCACCCCCTATGGTTATTGATGGGACGGACCATGATGTAGCACTGGCCTCTTCCAAATTTATTACTCGTAAAGAACTGCTTGTGCGACGGTCCCGGAGGGTGAAGCAACTTATTCGAATCTATAAGGCATTTTACTGGGCTTTAATGGAGGATTTCAAGCGCAAGTTCAGGGAGTATTATTGGACATACGGCAAGAGTCCATTTAAGGAGGATGAGAAGGAGGCCGAGGGCATTGGTGATTATCCAGAGGGTATTGGGGAGAATGGAAAGTTTGGAATTGGTTCTGCAGCCGGGAGCGATGATATTAGGAGGTGTGACGTTACAGGTTGCAAGGTAAAGGCGATGGCAATGACGAAATACTGTCATGCCCATATCCTCTCGGATTCAAAGCAGAGGCTCTACAAGGGTTGCACCTTTGTAATCAAGAGGTTTGCATTCTATAACTGATCAATTTTTAGCTGCTTGGTAGTAATACTAAGAACTTTCCACTCAATAAGCAATAGGGTGATAGATATATAATATTATCTGTTATTGATATGGGTATGATGATGTTCTTGGTCTGCTATGCACTTTACTAACCGTTTATTAACCTATTTCTGCAGAATGATAGATTAGTTTTCTTTGAGTTTCTTTCTTTTCCTGTGGACTCTGTCATAGATTCAATTTTGTTAAAGTTGGTCAGAGTGTAGATCCTTGGGACAAATACTGCATAAAGGCTTTTCTATTTCTCAAGCCCTCCCAAGTTCGTATTATAGAACCATTTCTCACCCTCTTAGTTAAAAAGTAACTAGTGTGAAATACTTATGTTTCAGGAAATACTTATGTTTATCATTTCTCAAAATGTTGTCAAAATTGTATACAAATTTTGGAAACAACAAACACCAAGAAACAAGAAATAATTATCAAATGCAATCCTAATGTTACCAGATGGGTCCAGTCTATTCATGGCTTGATTTTACTGATAGAAAACTAGGGAGCTTTGCTGCTGCAATGACAAGTAGTAACGAACCAACCAAAGTTATCACTACAATATTTACTGAAAATTATGTTGTGCCCAAATGACGAGGGCAGGGCAAGGGAATTGAATTGAATTATCAAAATGGCAGCCTCCTATAGGATCAGCTCCCATAATAAAAATCTCTAACATTTTTATTGAGTCCTACATAATGTGGGAAGAGGGTAGTTCAGGTGTTTGTTAACCGATTTTCTTTTTCATTTTAAGAATTGAAAATTAGGCAACATAGTTGAGCTAAATTAGATGGATGGCCATACTGTTCTATTGCTTTGATCTAAGACTGATGGAAATAGATCTTTTGTTTTGATTAGAGATTATACAGTCACAAAAGGAGAACAACCTGAGGACGGGTAGAGGAATATCCCTGTGGGGAGCATCTATTTTTTATTTTTATTCTTCTTTTTTATGAGAAATAAATATTTCATTGATGATAGAGATATACAGAAGGGGAAAACCCAAGAAAGAAAGGAGGGTTACAATAAAGGCATCAAATTCATCAAAAAGACAGGTAGAGGAAACTCCCCGCGTGAAGCATCTATAGAACAGGAATACCTTCCAGTTCCAATAAAAAGAAAACTGTATGCTTCTCAAAAAAAGAATTGCGTATGCGTCAAATTGGATCTTGTGTTTGTAATCTGACAGGCATTGAACTTGGTATTATAGGTAGGCATAGATGTATTGTGTTGGGGAAACTGTCATGTGGTGGTGCTTGACTTGTAGATTTATTATCATTAATTTTGATTGGATCAATCTTATAATTGCAGCAATATGATGTTCTTTTCTTTTTCCATTAAGAAGAAATTCTTGTTCATTTTACAGTATGCCGTCGGGACCGCTTCTGTGTTCGAAGCCTGTTTTAAGATCTACTGTTCCCTGCTATTGCCCTGGTCATCTACAAAAAGGCGAGAAGTGTTTAGCAAGAGATTTAAGAAAAGCAGGTCTTAATATCTCCTCCACTAGTAAGCTTCGTCCGGAGTTGCATGTATTGTTATCTGAATACGTCCGCCAAATACAGCTCAAAAGGAGGGCGATGAGAAAGGCAACTGCTGTTAAAACCGAGACGAACTGAAAAGGTGAAGACGAAAACAACTAGTTAGTTAGTTAGGCCGGCCCCCAGTTTGAGTAAGAATAGGTACTTGGCATGGCCTTCTGTGTATTCAATACAAACCTTACACTCCTATGGCAAAAATTGTTAATAAATCAATTTTCGTGTACGATTCAATCCCTTCTTTCCCTCCCTCGCTGCACGTTTGGGGCGTAATATTTGAGATGAGAATAAAATCGATATGTCGCAATGAGATTGTGTAGGAAAAGAAGGATGTTTTTGGTTTGAATGGTCTCACTTTTTCCCTCTTGCAGTTACAGTAGATGAAGTTTGTTGGGTCTTGCCATTACAATGGTGCCTAATTTTAGTCTGAATTGCATTGGGAAAAGAAAATAATGAAGTTTGAGTTTATATTAATAGTCTGAGTTGTTGAAGTCTATATTTAGATTGTGTAGAAATAGACTTGTTAAAGAGTTTGTCAATCATGTATTTAAACTTTATTAAACTTATTTTATGAAAGAAAAATTAGAGTGGATAACCATATTTAATTTAGACTCTTAAATAGAAAAGGGGTTAAAAGAAATTTGCCATGTTTAAAAAAAAAACACTTTAATAATATATTGTTAGTGCGTCATGTAAATATTCAACAAATTAAAATATGGTTGCCCAAAAGATAACTTTTTGAAACAAACAGTAGGTCATTTCGCTTAAAAATGTAGAAATAACATGTACTTCTAAAAGTTAGCATATATTCATCTTAATTATCTTAATTTTTTTCTTAGTTTATTATTGCTTTTTATTTATTTATTATTAGTGATATCTTTTTCTTTTATTTATGTTATTATAAAATTAATAAAATTAAAAATACTTAGTATTATTAAAACATAACAATATTATAGTAATTTAAAAAATCCAACATTTCATTTACCCAAAAATAAAATATGGTTTAACAAGTGGATAAGGAGGTTATCCAGAGATGGCTTCGAATATACATTCTGAAGATTCTGTACGCACATAAATAAATAAGCAGCCTATCAACTTGACAAAATACACTAAAAAACAACCATCATAACAAATTGAACAAATGAAATCATTATCCCAAATTATGTACAAGATTTTAGAGAGCGACAGAGAGCATTCCAATACAAAGTTAAATTCAAATAAATTAGAAAAAAAGCAAGGATTATGATTCATTTGAATTCCATCTTGGAGCTTGGAAAAGATGATGCTTGTTCATCTCATCCTGCGCTGAGGCTGTGTTACTAAATTATCTAGCAGAGTCCGCATTTGCACCAAGACGATGCACAAGTTTCTTGATGCTTCAAACCTGGGATGCCTGCCTGTGGTGCCAAGAATTAACCTTTTTAGGTATTGAGACCGACATGACTCGACGCCAAGGACATAGATGTTTACCACAGAAGATGAATCCCATCATGGTTGATCTGCATCAGATCCAGGTCTTGTTACACGCCGCCTTCTTGAAGGTGGTGATGCATCGTCGCCCATTCCAATGAATATGCGGAAGTCCTCGTCCTCCTCCTCTTGTAGTCCCAAGAGATTTTCACCCCAGAGGAACCGGCGCTCTGGTCCGGTTGTTCCTCCTCCGGAGCGTCGATGCCTTACCCAAGACCTTGAACGAGGCCTTGGTTCCCGAGCACCATCAACCGATCCAAACATATGAAACAGAAAGAAACTAGTCAGCAATGGCCCATTGACATCACCTGTGCCATTGTCTCTTTCACCTGCCACCATACCATCTCCATTTTCAATCACATAGTCTCCAACCACAAGGGCACCCGGCATAGCCGAGCGGATAGCACTGACAACATCACCAACTTCTCTCTGGCGCTCCAAGCGCCGCCACGCCCGTTCTCTAGATGGATCTATGATAGAAGGTCGGGATGTTGGATGAACTCTTCTAGCATGCCTGCGCAGTTCTTGGTAGTTACCAGAGAATGAGCAAGTTTCACGGGAGCAGCTTCGTTTCTTTAGATTAAGATATTCTCTTGCTTCTTCAATGACTTCCCAGCCTAGCACAGCTCCTCGGCACATGGGACAGTTCAAATTTGAGTACTCCGATGAGTTCCCAGCAGCATCTGATTCTTCCTGCTCTACCCTTTCAGTAATGGACCCAGAACCAGCAGTGTCCAAATCTCCAGCCTCATTTGTGTCTAGAGTTCTATTAGAGTTTTCAGTTCCATTTTCCCCTAAAACTACAGGTAATCCAGCTGATGCAACATTGTTCCTTTCATTTAAATTTTGATTTTCATCAACTTCATTCAAGTCAATGCTCAAACCCAGGTTGTTTGCAGGAGAATTACTAAAACTATATGGATTTATAGGTAAAGGACTTGATAAGCGTGGACTCTTCCTAGTTTCTTCTCTTAATTTTTTGAATTGGTCAAAGCAATTTGAGTGCCTATGGCTTGTGTCACATATATAAGGTTTGCAACCCTTATTGTGTGAGCTGCAAAGTAGAAGAACAGCATTATGTGGGTGGTCCATGCAGATAGGGCAGGAGACTTCATCCAATTCTTTATGCAAAGCAATGATATCTGAATCATTATGAATTCTTCGTTTCACACCAGCCATCTTGAACACTAGGTAAATCACTAAGCATATTTAATAGATCAGAACACTTCTATCGACAACAATACCACAATGCTCATAATATAACAAAATAGAAACATTATGAAAAACAGTAGAAAAAGTTGTTCGACAACAAGTGAGTGTTTTTTAAGGTTTCTAAAGAAAAGTATAATAAACAGTCTCGGGGGGTTTCTCAGAATTCAAAACTAAGAAAGCAATCAATCATAACAATAAAGCAACAAATACATCATACCCACCAACACATAAATGATAAGGCAAGTCTACATTCTCTACATCAAAATTCCTATTAACATTAAATTGTGCAATGCAAATTAAGTGCATATAGATAAGTGTTTCAAATTTAAATGAAGACCTAAAGTAACAGAAACAAAAAATTATTTGTAAATGCAAGAGAGGATGACCATTGATGGAAATATCCATTTCTTATCATCAAAGTGCATATTTTACACACAAAAATGTGATCCAATTTTAAAGATGACCAAAAATAAATGAATGATAAGTTATCTGCAAATGCAGGAGGGTAGGCTTACATGCAATCTACCAATTTACATATAAGCATATTACCCAGAAATGTATCAAGCAATTGCATAATTACTCACCAAGAGAAGCAGCTCTTATATATTTCCTACAGGAGGCTTCTCAATCTCTATTTGTGCTACCAATTCAAATCTACAGAATGCTTACTCTGGCTTTATTAAAGCAAAATCACAGGTCTACAAATTGAAAGCAAAGAACGGTAACTGTAGTAGTAATTGGTGGAATACACCCTTGACTAAAACTATTAGCAACTTCTCCAGGACCCCAAGGGCTGTACAAGTCCTTGACCTGCATTTATGCAGTGTAAAAGAAATTTGCCGGTTATAAATACATGATCTCAAGTTTGAAAAAACAATCATAAAGAAAAAGGAAGTATTTCAACAACCATGGATGTTTCCATTATAAGTAAGATGCCCATTCAAACAAACATCAATAGCAAAAACTGAAATTCCAAATCAAACATACAAATATAGCAACATACAAATCCCAGTTAATTTTCTTTCTAATACCCAACCATCCAACCCAGCCAAGAAAGTGTTAACAAAACTAAAACCAGCAACAATGTAAGAACACGTGCAAAACCAACAAACAACTTTCCTCACCATGAAGTTAAGCATATGTGTGCAAACCGACAAAACCACTCTCATAAGAAGGAAGATTCTTACTGACATCCTCTGGATTCAAAAGGAAACGCCCCTTAACCCCCCTACCCTCCTTCCCCCTCCACCAGAAAATTTAAAAAATAAAAAGGCGGGCATCAAGGGCAACAAGGGGCAGATATGCAAGAGCAATAACATACACTAGAAGAGTTGGCTGAAAAACATAGGATTAAATTATAATAAGATCGACCATGTGATTGTCCTAGTAACTATTAGACCTCTTTTCCAGAGATGAAATAACATCTTATTCAATTAGATTTGTGTATAAATGCTAGGACGCCTGCCTATCCTGAACGATGAAAATGTTCCATCAAAATAGAAGCAAGTTCAAAGCGGTTACCATCGACGATGCAAAATTCGAAGCGAAACTAAAACAAAGCTGCAAATCAGGCAGCATAAGGAAATTTGGCCGACGAAGGATCCAGATACCTCAAAATTTGATCATAGACCCGTTTAATTCTCACCCCGATGAACAATTACACACAACTAGGAATTAATAACAAAAAGCCCAGATCACATCCGAACAAGCAGATCCCTAATCGACAAAACCCTAACCCAAATCAAGCCAATCCATCGCCCCAACAAAGTTAAAGCTAAATTAAGGGGGTAATCAACTGAAAAGGGAATCGAAGACACAGGAAGCAGGAAGCACCCAATCTAATCCGAATCACAAATAATCGCAATGAAAACAAAATTCTAAAATCTTCATATAAAGCGCGAAAAAGAAATTGATTAAAACATGGAAGGTTAGGGTTTACTAAAAGCAGATTTTGATGGAATTGTTCCGGAGTTGGGTCGACGGTGAGATTGCGTGGAGAATTCGCTGAGATATAGCGCAGAGAAGGGAGAGAGATTGAATAACGAAGAATGTGGGCGTTCCTTCGAATATTTATAACCAGACGTAGCAGCAGCCACACCCGTAGAAGGTGACTCAAAACGCAGCGTTTTCACAGGGTTAGGCTTTGATGATGGGCTTTTACCAACTGGGTCGAAGGCCCGTTGAAGTTGTCTTGTAACTTTATGGGCCTTCTTATGATAGTTGTTTGATTTCTATATAAATAAATGTAGATTTGTCAAAATAGAAGTCGTCCAAGTTATAAGCTATCCATATTCATATATTTTTTTTTATGAGATAATAATACTCCTCTTTATTAATTAAATTCTAGGTATTTTCTAATTTGTAATTGTCTGCAAATTAAAAAGTTAATTTTTCTTTTTTTGTATTAGGTTCGCAATTTAAAAAAAGAATTAAAAAAGTTAGATTTTTAATTTTTTCAAGATGATCGACATTAATTCATTTATAATTTTTTTCTAGGTTTTAAAAAATTGGACAGATTTTATAAAAAAAAAGACGCGAAGATGTTTTAGTGCAAAAAGTGAAAAGAATTAAAAGAAAAATATATATATATATATATATATATATATGTTGAGGGTTAAATAAGAATTTTTAGAAAAAGAGTAAAAAATCCCATTTAATTATTGAAAAGGGTAAAAAATCCAATTACACCCGAGCGGCAGCGGCGACACCCACGAATCTCCGGCGGCGGTGTGGCGCGCGGCGACATAGATCCAACGCGATCCATAGCAGTCCAAACGGCGCGACGAACCTCCTTCACAAATTCTCTCTGCATCGCCAATCGGACCACGAATCCTCAACGGCGCGCGAACCACCAACAGCGAATACCCACCACTTTTCTTCTCCGGCGTCTCACCAGGCGGCGCGACGACATCCAGACCCTCGGGAAGCTAATTACATCTCTTTCTCTGGTTCTTATCTACTGTATTCTGCTGTAACTTGTTACTTTTCGGGCGTTTTCTTCTTCTTTGGTTCTTAGTTCGTGAAAGCATAGATTATGGTTTCTGATATTCAGAGTTGTACTATATATGTGTGCATAGCTTAGAAAATTAATTAGTTTATCTCTGTTTATGGTAAAGAAGGATGAGCTACCTTCTAAGGACCTTAACGAAGAAGAGAGAAGTTGATTCCATCATTAGGGACACCATTGATAAAGTCCTCATTCTCCGATTTGGTCGGTGTTCCGATTCAGTTTGTCTCCTCCTTGATGATATTGTATGTTGCCAAATCTCTAAATTTGTTTTCTTCTTCTAGGGTCGATATGATTTTTCTATGTTGATGATTTTGTTTGCTGGTTTTTCAATTTAGCTTGCTAAGTGCGCGCGAGAAGTGTCGAAGTTTGCTTCAATAGCACTGGTGGATATTGATTCAGAAGAAATACAGGTTTACATCAAGTACTTTGACATTTCTCTTATACCATCCACTGTTTTCTTCTTCAATGCTCATCATATGAAGATGGATTCAGGGTGAGTTTTATCCTGCTGTGCTGGTCTTTGTTAATTTCTTGCTTGATTTCTGTTCAAATAAGTCTATTATGGATATGTAGCACTGCATGATTTCTGTTCAAATAGATGCTGGTTGACTTGTTTTGAGATAACACAAGATCCCTTTGGAGTTTAAACAAGTGCTGTTGTTGGAATGAGAAGTAAAAATTATTTATTTTTAGTTTACTGGAAAGAAAAAGAAATCAACAATTGTTAACTGTAGTATTTGTTTCTTATTGGGTAAAAAGAGAACCTCTAAGAGTCTTGTAAAGCATGCTGAAAGGTTGTTGTTTTCTTAAGTTTGATAGTTGCCATAGCAATGCTTCATCTTTATGGTCAAGACGATTCAGAGTAAATTTAAAAGCTATAATGTGGAAAAGTAAAAAGATAGAATGTTCTTTTGAGTTGTTTATGTTTTTGGTTTTCCTCTTTTTGTTGTTGTAGTATTCCTTTATAGTTTTTAGATTTTAGTTATCATTTGTTTTTGAACAAGATGTGAACTTCTCATTGATTAATAAAAAGGAATAAAAATGTTCAAAGGATACGAACTCCCAAAGGGAGTGAGAAAAACAAAAAAGAAAAAAAAATGGAGAGAGAACCTGAAAGGAGAGAAACAACCCAAATGAGCAAAAGAGAATAACAACAGTAAGACCATAAAAGCAACTATCAGAAAGAGCCTCCAGCATGCAAGGAACAAAAAATAAGATCTTTAAGAATCTTGAACACCGGCAACATCATCTTGATCTGGCATGTGATGTTTGGACATAGAATCGAGCTTTGAATTCCTGAGAATACTTGGCACGGATCTTTCTTCGAATTTCAGTAATATCTCTATTTCAATCTACTTGTTACTCTATCTTTCTTCTAGAGTGCTCTTCTAAACAAATAACCTACTCTTTACAAATTTTGACAAGCTCAAAATTAAGAGAGGTTAAGTAAGCATCCAATCGAGAAGTGGATTAGCCAGAATATTTTGACAAGCTCGGGTATTAGTTTTCATTTGCTGATTTTTTTTTTTTTTTCATGAAACAAAAATTAGAAACTAGAGCAACTAGGGTTGGCTTAGAAGCCAAACCTGCAAGTTATAAGTTCAGATGTCTAGGAGATTATAAGTTCATTTTATGGTTAACTGTTTTTCTAGAATATAAAATATCATACTAGGGATATCTTATTATGCCTCATATGTATTCTTCTCTTTTGACGATGAATGGTATGTCTAGAAGCCGCTGAAAGTTGTGGGACAAAATGTTTAAATTAGGAGAGAAATGAGTGAAATACAGTGGGGAGAGAGGGACTAGTTACGGGTTAGGGGAGGTATCCAAGTGCTTATAAGCCCATCTAACCTGAAACCCGATGTGAATTTCTATCCAAAATTCATTTAGAATCCTCTGTGATTGGGCAGGAAGATGTTTTGTGGATCTCACGCTTCGCTAGTTAGTACTTAGTAGTGGAGTGAACAAATAAATACAAAAGACTGAACAAATCGATCAGAACGACTTAACTGACTAAACTGACATCAATCAGTCGGTGATGAAAAACCAACACATCAGTTGGTTGGGGTGGCCAAAAAGTGCCATTTCGATCAGTTGACTGAACCACGTGGTCACCATTAACATGGACAACGTGAATCTTCTCTCTCACAATCTCTATTTTCTTCCTTTCTCCCTCTCTCACTATACATGAAAATGTCCTCTCTCTCACCAACTCTTTTTTCTCTCTCCCTCCCTCTTTCTCTTTTGATTCTGACTCTCTCCCGTTCTCTTTTTTCCTCTCATTTTTTTCCCTTTCTCATTTTTTCTTCCATATCTCTCTCATTTTCCCCCACCTCTCTGTCTCTCCCCTCCTCTTCCTCTCAGTTCTCTGCTGCATCTTAGTCCTTTCAGCCATGTAGCATGCCCTAACTTCTACTTCGGCATCTCTCGAAAACTGGCTAAAAGTGACTAAACTAGTGACGGTCGGTACAAAGCCTAAAAATTGCTAGCTTTTCAATAAAAAGCTAACTGGTCACTTTTCGATGTTGGTCTTGTCATTGTGCCAAAAATGACACCAACCAACTAACATGGCGCCCCTACTTAGTAGCCATTCCCATGTGTAAAAGACAATATTTATGTGGTGCTTGCTCTGATAAATATTGCAGCTAACAAGCTGTTCCTCATATAATATTTTAAATAAGTCTATTAAATTGTATTATCACTATATCTGAGATTAAATTACACTAAAAGGTATTTTCATTCTTATTTTTTGAAATGTAGGACTGCAGACCATACAAAGTGGATTGGTGCTTTTCACCAAAAGCAGGATTTCATTGATGTTGTGGAGGTAAGTGCCCATTGGTTTTATTTGAATAAATGAAAAGCCGTGAATGAAATATATATATGTGATAACAAAGTACAAACTAGAGACTATTGATCAAGACTGTCATTACAAAAATCAAATCAAAGAAATTCTTTCCTCGAAGGAAAAAAATCATTAGACGGAGAGCACCAAGTAGAAGTGAAAATATTCACTAAATCCCAAAAAACCATCAAGGTTTGCCCCCGATCAGGCTCGAACATTCAGATGGATTGTTGCTTTTTTATTTGAGAAACTTGTGTTGGCTTATGACTTGATGATTACTTCTAGCAGGGTCTCAACTTATTTCTTTATCTGTATTTTGTAATTTCGTTCTAGGAGTACTGGTACTGGTTTTTAGTTCTTCTTGGATTTACTTCATTGGCCATGTCCACATTCTTCTTTCTTCTTTATGACAGGCAATATTTAGGGGAGCAATGAAAGGCAAGCTGATTGTGAATTGTCCATTGCCTCCAGAGCGAATTCCAAAATACCAATTATTGTACAAGGATCTGTAGCAGATAAATTGGCTGCCATTTAAAGGCTTTACTGGATTTGCTTTCCCCATATTTTATTTCTAACAAGTTTCTTCATGGTATCAGTTGATCTTGCTTTTTGGAAGTCGAATTCTAGGTGAATCTCAATCAAGTCTGCCATAAATGAAGAATGGCTGAGATTCAATAGAGTTTCGATGAAGAATGTCGCTCTAATATCTCCATCTTTGCTACTTATTTCGAGTATTTCAACGTTGTTGGTGGAGCATTTTTTCTCCAGCTACTGACAGAAAATGGAAGAACATGTGGTGAACTTCAGATAATTCATTCAAGTTCAGTACTTGTTCCAAGTATTAAGGGAATAGTTCTTCATTAGCTTATTAGTAGTTTCAGCTTCTGTTTATTTGTATAACTAATTTCTCTTGTATTAATTTGTTAGTGAGAGACAAATCATGTATAAATGCAGCTCCTTATATTTTGTATAGCACATCAACAAAATAGAGGATTATTTTTCTTGAATATAATTCAGCTTTCTCATATGCAAGCTTCCTCATCATTTATGTCACGGTTGAGGAATTTAGATTTAATTTTCTAATGTTCGACTTTAAAATGGGCAAAAGGAGAGCTATTAAGTTGTTGAAAGGAGATGCTAAGGGTTATTACGCGTATTTTTTTCTCTAAATTTGTTTTGTTCACTGATAAACTTACCCACTCCATGTAAAGACATGACACAACTTAGTAACTTTCTCTAACCAAAATATTTTGTTATAGAAAATTCTCATAAAAAAATACCATTTATATTCTAATAATTGTGGGGTGGAGATTCTAACTTTCAAAATATCAAGATGTCTTAATCATTAGCCATGTTCTAGTCTTTTTTTTTCTCTTTATTTTCTTCATACAATAAATGCGGAGATGAAAGATTGAATTTTCGACCTTGAAAGAAGTAACATGATGCTTTGAACTAAGTTCGTATTAGCTCCAAACAAACTATTAAAATGAATAGTTCTCCCTCTCTATAAAATCACAATCTTGCCAAAATTGGCATTATTGACTGAATAACATTGTAGCTGACGCTACTTAATGGCGAACATGGTAACTATTTAAGCCACAAAACTTCATTAGTGGGAGAAACAATATTTCTAATCAAATTTGCTTTATGGATATTCAACATTTTAGTGACCTTTCTAATCAAATATGCATTTAAGTGGCTATGTCTAGGGAGTTCAACCCAAGCATTACTTGAGTAAGTTATAGTAGCAGTATTAAATTTCCACCAACATGTCATTTATATGTCTATGAGTTCAGCATTTACATGGAGGATGAATCAACATTTTCTATAGTAACACAAAAAATCAACAAAATATAAAAAGGAAAGTAACACCACATAATACTACTGACATTAACCTAATGTTAATATTAATAACTTTTAAGTTATTTAAAGTTATGAAATGGTTATGTCTAAACTTGAATATTTATTATAAATATTTTTTCTAGAGATATCTGATCCCATCAACATTTAAAACTTTATGATTAATTTGAGTTGATGTAAAATAAAAAAAAAACGAAGTCAAGCTCTTCTTGTTTAAGTTAGAATGATTCATGTTTTGGGAAATGATAAATTTATAATAAATAGAAATCTAATAATGAGCGTAGCTCATCGACAATTGACATATATCTCCAATCAAAAAGTTGTAAGTTCGACCCTACCTCATATGTTGTTGTATTTTATTTGTTACAATTACTCATAAGAACCTCAAGTTTATATCTTAAAAATGTGATTTTAAAATTTCATAAAATCAATTTTAATGAACTTTCATTTCTTCCAAATCCCTTAAGAACACAACTTCCTTCAACTTCATCATCCAAAATGGATTTAAAAACTATATTATCTTATAAAATAATGGGCAGCCCACCAAACCCTTTGAAGAACAACAGCAAAACCACATTAAAGGTTTTCTAATTTACATCTTGCCTCCAATGCTTTGACAAGTTTTCTTTCTTCATTTTCAGAAAATTGAAGGGAAAATGGTGAGGGCTCCCAATGTTGCCGCATACGGCGTCGTTTTGGTGCTGCTACTGACAAGCTCCTGCCTTCTTATTGATGGGAAGCGATATTTGCCCCAACTGGAGACTGAGCATAATGGAAACAAAGTTAAAGTTAAAGGCAGCATTTTCTTGCCATATGAAAGCCGCAGTTTCCACCGTGAGTGTAATAGGCAGGATTATAACTGCTGGAAGAACAATGCAAAGGTTGGGAATAATCCCTAAATTACTTCAAATCTATGTATACTTTACTTATAAACATACGATGAATATGAGTGTTTGTGAAAAATATTATTCCTCCAAGTCGAGAAGATAATGTGGCTGGTAGTTTTATACTGTCGAGGGAGCAAAGGAAAAATATGGTTCCATGTGTTTGTGTGTGTATAAATAAGTTAGGATTGTATTTTTCCTTGTCATGAAACTTATGAGCAATATGGATCAAGAATGTATTTTCTTGTAGTTTTATTTGTAAAATAAGAGTGGAGTTTTTTTCCTTCTTGGTTGATTCGATAAGTTTCTTCCTTTTATTGTATATATGATCATGAATGTCTTGAGATGTATGTAAAAGTGGCTAGGGTTTGTATGGATCATGGTTAAACATATTATTTATTAGCTATATATATCCATCATCATATATATGTGTATATATATACAAGGGCATTTCTAAAATTAGCAAAAAATCTAATATTTATTTACAAAATTAGCAACCACATCTCAATTTTACAAAAATAGAAAAATTTGGAGGCTCATCTAGAATATAGAAAAAGTCTAATTTACTAATTTAAAGTCTCTCTCGATATACCTCGTAGTCATACTTCATTTAGTTTATGATATTTCATTGATATATAACTGTAGTCATATCATTTGGAGTCTGATATACTATTGATATACTTTAACGTGATATCATTTAGTCAATTTGACAGACCTCAAAGTCATACCATTTTGTTCTAATATTGATATACCTTAATATATATGTATTCTAATATACGTTGATATACTATTGATATGTCTAATTTGATATATATCATTGACAGACCTGATTTTAATACCATTGATACACCTGATTTGAATGTTGATAGGTTTGATATGAATGTCGATATACCAATAACATACTTGAATGCTGATATATTATATCTTTCTCCAACAAAAAATTTTCATGTGAAACTATTGGTTGAAAGTTCAGTTTTACTCAAAATTATAAAATTTAGATGAGATCATACAAACTTTTTCCATAACACACACAAATGGAATTGTTTAAAAAATAACTATTATCCCAGCTCCATTTAATTAATTAAGAGGTTATCTAATAAAAGATCTGACCTTTAACATCCAAGGAAATATAGCAATGTTTGCCTAAAAGAATTATGTTTGATACTAATCTAAATTATGATGAATATCCTAAACTTGATAAAGTTTACTAGGAAAAAAAAATAATTCCTCACTTTAGGCAGGGTAATTGGGGTTTTTGACCCCACCAATAGTTCAAACTGGATAAATGAACCCCTTTCAAAAAAACCTAATTTTTGACCCCACCTCTACTTAATTTTGAATCCACCTTTAGTGAAAAGACAAATATACCCTTATTTATGATAATTAACTTCCCCATTAACTTCCACCCAACCATTTCACCAAACTTTTAACCTCATATTTTACTTATGTTTTGAGTTTGAAACAATCCAAAATTTTCACACCATCCAAACTCCTCACAGATCAC